CGCCGGCGTTAGGAGCGCGGGCAGGGCTCGCCTCGGGCCCGCTTTCCCCGGGAACCGCAGGAGAAGGAGAGCCGCTGAGGGAAATATCCTTGGCCGTGCCTCACTGAGGAGCAAATAGGGTAGCGTGCTGCGGGATAGGCACAAAAACGTTCACACGTTTTAGCTGTGATGCTGCAAGTATGCCTTTACCGCAACAAAGAGACGTTAGCCCGGTGTGCGTTCAGGTTTCTGGCCTGCTTTGAGGCCTGGCGTGACCCCTGTGGTGTTGAGCTGGGCTTCGCGGAGAGGGCTGCGTTGGGGGCAGGAGGGACGGTGGGTTCCCCCACTGACTGACGGCGCTGGCAAAACTGGCAGCGTGTGTTTGGCCCTCCTGGCCTGCACCGTGCCACGGCACAAGGGTGGTGCTGGTCCGTAAGTGGCGGGTTCATGCAGATGAGGCTTTCTGCTGCAGCATGGACGATGGTTGCTGATAAAGGATATTGTTTATACAACAGTCTGCGTTAGGTGTGGTGTGCTGCAAACTAAACTGAAGTCTTTTAGCCCGTTTTGCTCAGGCTGGTGAGTATCTGTAGAGTCATAAAGTCAGCCGCACTCAGGTTCAATAGGATGTGAAAGAATGATTTGGAATACTTGAATCTATGTTCTTACCTGTTTGTTTTCTGTGTCTCAAAAACACTGAGGAATGGAAAAGTTCACAGGCTTCTTCTGTGTAAATAACTTTTTAAACTTTATTTTTTTAGCAACAAACAACAAATACTGTAGAGGAGCCACTCGATCTCATCAGGCTCAGTCTAGATGAGCGGATCTATGTAAAAATGAGGAATGACAGAGAGCTTAGAGGCAGACTACATGTAAGTAAAACTTTCAGAGGACTACCGTGCTTATTCAGCTAAGCACTGGGCTACCTTTTTTTCATGTACAACAGTCTATTACATGAACTTACCTATAATATGCCACCAATTGTTTAAAAAATCAGTTTATAAACACAAATAATTGTATCTCATGGTTAAAAGTGCGGAAGTGGTTAAAGATCATCTCAGTAACAAGGGCTGAACCCTTTTCTTATCAAAAGTGTAATGTCATTGGTGAAAAAATCTAATTTGCTCAGTACTCTGTCTGCTGTTAAATGCTTCACTAGAAAGTCAGGAGATGTATTTTGTTTATCTTGTCTCCTGAATGATACCAAGCAATTCATTCCACTGCTTTTGGCATCTGTTTCTGTGTGTCTGAAATAAGCAATAATGCTGCAGGCCTCTTCTTGTGAAGTACCCTAAGGTCTATTTAAAACTGAATTAAGAATGAAATTATCATTATCAAGCAAGTATCTCTTAAGGCACGCCCTGTGAGGGTATGATGTACTCAGCTGGATTTTCTGCAAATCTCATTTGTCGAAATGCTTTCTTCTGAGTGTGATATGTCTCTTGACAAGACCGATTTTTGCTTTCAATTAAGTCAGTCATCCTTCCTGAGTACTGTACTGTGTTGGGGAAGAGACCCAGCTGCCCCATGTGTTGACTGGGCCTCAGCTCCTTTGGGAAGACAAAGATGAGGAGGGGTCTGTGAGGCACCGGTGTAGTGGTTTAGTTAGCAACACGCTTTTGTAAGGTGTTTGAAACATGTACTTATTTTAAGTTTTTGTAGCATTGTGTGTATTACAGCTTTCGTATCATTAAAATTTGCCCCAGGCAATCGATTCCAGGAGACTGGACTGGCAGCAGAGAATGTGTAGCTGGTTTAATGTTGATGAAGTGTGTCTGTCTGAGTTCTTGCACGTGTTCTCACTGAAAGCTTCAGAGCTATTTCCTGGAAGAGCCTTTCAGTGAATGTAAATGTCTTCCTTTTTATTTATGCTGCAGAGTACTGATTTGTTGGCATTTATGTTTGAAATTACAACTATAACTGATACTACTTTGTTTTGACATAACAGCACATTTTGGTCAAAATCAGGTGCAACTAATTATGTTTGAAAGTCTTGCCATAATTCTCATTTTAATGAGCATGTGCTTGAATTTTGGAAGAAATAATAAACTAACTTCATTCCTACAGGCATATGATCAGCACTTAAATATGATTTTGGGCGATGTGGAAGAAACTGTAACTACAATAGAGATTGATGAAGAAACCTATGAAGAGATTTACAAAGTAAGGACTTTAGTGTATTTATCCCCATAGAAAACTTTTTTTTAAAACTAAACTATGTTGTATTGTTAAAATAGTTTGCTCCTGACTACTTCTTGAACCATCATCTAAAAGAAGTTCTGTGCAAATTGTTACAAAAGTAAAAAGTATATCCAAAGTCATGGTGTTAGTTGTATTGATCTCTTCAGTGTGCCAGAAGGTTGTATGTTTAAGCTTATATTTGTTGGAGTTGTTTCTGGTGTTTTGTTATAATTGAATTTGGTCATATGCTTAGCAGATAAGTTTTGTAAACTATGCTTTTGTAAATGTAAACTTTTCTTTCCTTCTTCATAGTCTACCAAAAGGAATATTCCGATGCTCTTTGTCAGAGGTGACGGCGTTGTGCTTGTAGCTCCCCCGTTGAGGGTTGGTTGAAGCAACAAAGGATTAAACCTTGTTGGAAAGTTTCAGGCTTCTGGACAATGGTTCGTCTTTTGATCATGTGTCTCAAAATTCTGTACATGTTTTTTATAGGATGTTTTTGTCTGTTCTTTTGGGAAGGGGAGGGAAGGGAAGCCAGTTTGTCTTGCAGAAAGTACATGTAGTCAATTAAAGCAGTGTAAACCCAACCCTATTTTCTCAGAATTAATGTAACTGCTGTAAATTGGCTGTCTTGTCACACCAGTAAAAGAATCCTTCATTTTTTCAATCTTGGCAATAGCACTGTCTTAATTTTTTGTTTTAAATAAATTTGGTTTATCTTTCAGATTTGACTTGTCATGTTTTTATGTTGAAGGTATTATTCTTATGTTCTTCTACAGAGCTATTAAGTTGTAGTATGTAGCCTCACTTTCAGTAACTTTTGTGTTTGTTGTGTTAATTTCTGTCCTTATCAATCTGCAACACTCAGGTATTAGTGTTTGGGGGCAGGGGGAGGGGTACTACATGAATCTACAGTGCTATAATTTATGGCTGTTCTGTGTTCAAATTCTTGATGCAGATCCTTGTAGCAGGGAAGTAGTATTTGTATGCATCTTCCACTTAATATATGTAAAGAAGATGGGCTTCTTTACAATGTTTTCAGATGTTTTTATTGTAACTTTGTTAGCAGAGCTATGGTTTGCAAGGCCATAAGTAGAGACTGAGGTTGTTGCCTTGCATGCTGATGAGTTGCCTCCCGCATGCATTCATTTCCCACTGTCTGTAGCCTATTTCAGTTCTTGAATACATTAAATGCTATTGAGTGCTTAAGATGCTCATTAGTTATCTGCGGTGAAGGTGCATTAGAACCCAGAACAAAGCTCTTTTTTAATACATGCTTTCTCAGGCCCAACCTGTTTGCAATTTATTCTCCTTCTTGTAAGAAAAAGAAGGCACTTATGCTATGAAATATTTTAATACGTATGTTTGAAAGGCATATGAGAGATGTAGGTCTACACTGGAACATTTCCTACAGAGCTTGACTTCTGACTTAAGAACCTAGATAAATTAAGTTTATTAGGTATGCTCTGTAGGGTTAGCAAAAGCAGCCTGCTCTGGCACTTTCTCCTACAGCTAAAATCTGCATAACTTATGTCCATAGCTTGTGACAGTGGTCAGGAATGCAAGGTCTGCCTTGGTAAGCTCCAAGCCAGATTCTTCTTCAAGGAATACTAACTTTTTTGGCAGTAAAATACATACACTCAGAAGATGAATGTATACTTCATGCTCTTTGAAATAAGGAAAGCAGGGACTGATACAAAATCTGCTCTGGCTTCTAGGTGGCATCTGTACTCTGTTGTTCTCATGCAATATCGTCTAGCATGAGGACAATAGGAGAGATAGCTGAAGCTGAAATAGGGAAGCTATTGCTGAGAATTAGTGTGTTTTAGTAGCAATTATAGTCTTAATTTTTTAATCCGGTGGAGACTTGCTACCCTATTCCTTGCACTTTGTTCTAGAAAGGACAAATCATTCCACTTGTACACACACACACACACGAGATTTTTCTTACCTTAAACCTGTGCACGATGCTGTTTTCATATATAGGTCCCTTGTATGCAAATGAAAGAAGAAAGTATCTGTATAACTTACTACTATAACATTATTTGAATGAAGAACAGGTATGCAGCGGCTCTGTAGCAGGCTTCCCTCACTACACCATCCTTGCTTGAAGTTGGTCTGGGCTAAGATGAAAACAACTTTCTGTGATTCCTATCTCATCCATTCCAAGCGCGTTGTCTCTGCAAGAGTTAGCTCAGCTCAGCAAGCATCAACTCCTGTTCCATGCGTACACGACCCTTGATGTTGGAAGAAAGCTAGTGATGCTACAACTGTTCCCCTTCAGGAAGGGGTACAAGGATGACTGCACTGAAAGATCCTTTTTAGTCTCATATCTTATATCTTACCAATCTAGGAGGCCAGAATAAATGTTTAGGGGGAGAGAGTAAGAACAGGTGAACACAGTGATGGTCCTCCAGTTTGCAGGGATCTGCACATCTGGGAAAGGAGAGAGTATGTTTTGCAGAATCTGAGGGATTTCTCTTGCATTAATTAGTCTGCACCCTTTTAGGAGTCTGGTAAGCCCCTGGCTATGTATTGTTATAGTATGTCACAGGCTGAGCATGTGTTCTCTGAAGAAACGCTTCTTTTGGCTTTGTCCAGTTTGGGCTTGGTTTTGAATTTGCTGCGTGTCACTTTCCTGTGATGCTTCTTAATTCTGCATGACAGACAATGTTTGCTTGGTGCTATTCAGACATAGCAGAGTGTACATTTACCTCTCCGTCTTTTCTACTCCTAATTGTTCTTCAGTTTTCTCTTTTCCAGGTTGCAAAGAGATTTTCTGTTTAATATTTTTTGATGAAAACTGCTCCATTCCTTTTGTAGTACATGATTTTTGTATTGGAGGACTGACACAAGGTACACAAGGTGTTAGTCCATCAGAACTTTTACCTTGATAAATTTTAAATGAATATCTTAATAACACTTAAGGTTCTCTGAAAACGATGAGAGATGTGAGGTCTACATGTCCTTTACTTAAGCCGTATTTGGCAGCATAACACATTTATCTATATGTCCAGTAATTCCATATTACAGAGTATCAGCACAGTTGAAAGAGGTCGGCTCACCTGACATAACTCACCTGAATCCCTGTAGAACTCTTTCAAAAATTCTCATTTGTCACCTTCTGTTTCTTTTGAAGCAGTTTTAAGTGAGAGATTATGCATGGTGGTTGCTAGCTCAATTATTGTCTAATTGAGTTCTTGGGTGTTTACTGTTGGATTATAAAGATCTCTTACTGTATGTTGCTGAAATGTCCAGTAGCGTCTCTTACTGACCCTCTAATTTGAAGTGGGCTGTCCAGAGTGGGAGCCAGTCTGAGCTCCTCCATGATGAATGTGGATTAAAAAAAAGTACATTTAAAAAGCTTTTCTGCAGACTTGTCTCTTTCTTACTGTTCTTCCTATTCTTTGATCATCTGTTCCCTGTACTAACCCTTTAAGATTCCCACTCCTGATCTGTTTGAAAAAGAATTTGTTGTTAATTTTCTTCAAATGATTTCTCAATACTTCTCAAATGCCTTTTCATATTGTCTTATGTTTTTAACCTACCAGAGTTTTTAATATTACTCAGCTTCTTGAAGCTTGTCTTTTTATTTCTAGTAGCTTTCTATAGATAGTAGTAGCCTTTCTAGTAGCCTTGTGGTAGTTTTTAGCCTTTGGACTGCATCTTTTTGATAGGTGGCAGAGTAATTTATTGTCTTTAAAGAATTTCTTGTTCTGCCTGCAAACGGTTGACTCTTCAACAGATCTTTTTAAGAAGATTTTTATTATGTGATTCCCTTTTTCAGAAGTGGTGGTATGGTTGGACCTCTGGTGTCTTACTGCTTTTGTGAGAGTGTCAGCTGCCTGTGAAATTTCCACGTGGGCTCATTGTAAAAGTGATTTTTGAATCTAACTCATGGAGGACGCTAGATGGTGCTGCATATCCTCAAAGTCAAGCTTGGATTGCTTTGCCTGACTGATGTATGTAGCCTGTGTCAACAGGCCCTGTAGTTGTACAATTAGTCATTTGTTTTTAATTAGGATGGCACTTGCTGACAGTTTTAAATTAACTCTGCTGCTCACCCATAAGTAAAGATCAAAATATGTTTTGATGTTTATGTAGGCACAGACCAAGCCCCCCAAAGAGTTAAAGTAAAACAGTATGTGTGCCTTGCATTGTCAGATTTTAAAATGCACGAACTGCAGACTAGCAGCTTTGCTAGTAGCATTAACTGAAGAATTATGCCATATAGAATAAATTGTGGTTAACCACTTTGCTGCTAAACGCTGCTTGGAGAAGAACAGCACATTGTTGTGTGTGGTATGCAAGGCTGCTTCTGCACCCACTGGTTCAAGTGGTAGTTGTATGGCTGTCCAGTAACTTCACTGGAGAACTTCATTGCAGTTAATACTCAGCAGGGGGAACAGCCTGCATTTATGAGTGTAGGCACACTAAACTCACAAATACTTCAGTTTATTTCATCACCAACGCTGCTGTCCTTTTGAACCCACAGAAATAGATTTTGATCCAGTCTATGTATCTGAACAAGACAGAATTTTGTTCTAGGTCCTGTGTAGGCTTTGGGGGATGTTTTTTTAAAGTTGAACAGAGATTACATTATGTGTTTCATTCCTGTTCCCCAGCACAGGAGAAGCCCAGGATTTAGATAATAGGTTATAGTAGGACTTAAGCGGTGTGAGCAATGCCAGACTGCTGCAGGGACTCAGGGTTGGAAAAGCAGAACGGTATTGATCATGTTGGGAGTTCTGCAACAACACCATCCCCCCTTGGTGCTTCCCTTCTTGTTCTGTGGCCATTGGAAATCTATAATTTGAAATATTTAAGAGAAGGAGGCTTGTAAGCCCTTAGAATTCTTATTATAACTATGGCACTGGGAAGGGAGCTGATTCAGTGCAAGAAGACAAACCTTGTGCATTGTTTTTTGCTCTGATGATGACATGTACAGAAAATCCCGTCAGGCTTAGTAAGGTTTAAGGCATTCATGCCAAGATCATTGATGGGCTGAATACATCATTACTGAGGGTGTAGGACTCCCATGTTTCTAAACAGGAAGCTGCTTTCATATACTAAACAAAAAGAATGGAAAAGAAAAATAGAAAGTTCTACAGAAAATTGAAGCACAGTGTCCAAGCCAGCCTTTTTTGGGGGGGAAAGAATGGGTGGAAGGAAGAGAATAGATGATGTGGGTTGGAGCGGAAAACAAGAACCACTGACGGAAAAAGATGTAGTCAGAAACCCTGTTTATGAGTGAATTTTTTCATTGTTACCCAAATTAGTTTGAATGGAAGAGAGGCCCACTCCCAAATTTTGGAAACTTAGGCCAAAAAGCCTATTTAGTTTTACAATGGCATTTGATCGGTTTATGATGTGATTGCCTGCAACAGCAAGGAACTAGGCGTGCTGACTGTCTGTGTGGGTGGACAAACGATTGCAGAAAACACTGCATAAACCTTTGGAAGAGTTGGGTAATGACTGATCATGAAGGGGGGGGTTAGCAATGTTTTCCTCTGTATGGTTCACGGTAAACATGGAGACTTACTTATTCAAGGTGCGTACGGAAATCTTCGGAAGAGATCAGAATATTCCAGTGTAAGCACGTTTTCTGAATTAGAAGGATGTAATTTGATGCAGCGTATGTACAGTGTTTTTCAGTCTTATACATTTTTGTATTCCGAAAGTAAGGGATAGCATAAACCTTAAAGGGAAAAGATAAATTTTCTTAT